ATATATATAGTGTAATATTTAAATCAGGTCATACATACCTATTTCCTCAAACATTTCCTGTTTCTTTTTTGGTACTGGGAATCGAACTCGGGACCTTGAGCTTGCAAGGCAGGGGCTAGAACCACTGAGCTAAATCCCTGGCCCTGCTGTTTCTTTATGATGAAAACTTTCAGAATCTTTTCTTCTAGTTTTCTGAGATGTGCAGTCCATTATTATTATCTATAGTTGCCCTACTGTGCAATAGCACAACAGAACTTCTGCTCCTATCTAATTGGAGGACTCAGTGTTCAGCCTTACTCCATCCCTCCCTGTCTGCTACTTTCTCCAGCCTCTGGTAACCACTCTTCCATTCTCAACTTCTGTGAGATCAAAGAGTGCATTTAAACACTTGTTTATTTAGTGAAATTTGAATAAAAGGAAATTCACTGTTTTATGTTCTCTAGGAAGCAGTTTACATCGTCCAGTGACAATGAAAAAGAATTCTAATCTTTGCACACACAGTATAGCTGACTCTCCCAGACATAACGCTGAACAAGAGAAGGGGAACACACACGTACTGAGTAACTCCACATTTATTGAATTCAAAGGCAATAAACCTAATTTATGGTAATACAGGTCAGCCGGGGGTATCCATGGGATATGGTTGGCAGGAGTATTAACTGTGAGTGGGCATGAGAGGCTGTTGGTGCTGCCAAAAAAATACTATTTGTGTCTAAGTAGTAGCAAAATGAGTTCATGTCTATATAAATATTCACCCAGTTGTAGACTAATAGTTTGTGTACTTTACTACATATAAAAGTATATTGTAAAATAATATTATACTTCTACTAAAAATAATTTTTAAGGGATGCAATGATGTATTCCAGTCCTTATTTTATATAAGGAACATTCCTCAGGGTTCCCTTTCCTGGCTGTAATTGCAAATTTCTTTTTCGGCATATCCACACTCTGTAATCCCACATTTTGTTGGTAGAGAAGGTTCACATATCCCCACCAGCTTGATTATCCACCAGGGAGCAATTCTGGACAGCCTGCTATGCAGAACAGGTAAGCTCCCCACAATGACAAATCAATAAACAAAATATGTTGTATCCATACAGTGGAATACTGTCACAAGAAATTATGAAGTACTAGTTCATGCTACAACATGGATGAACCTAAAAAAATATATCAGGCTCAGAGAAAGAAACCAGATCTAAAATGTCACATACTTTGTGATTCTGTTTATATTAATGTGCAGAATGGACACTGAGGTCAGCAAGCTATTCCAGGTGTTGCAATGGTTATCTGGTGTTTTCTTCTTGTTACAATCGCCTGTCAGACATAACAAAAAGAACACTCAGAAATCATCCTTCAAATGTTTTGAGAACATCTTAAATATAACAGCATCATAGGAGCCAGGAATACTGTGGTAGATTCATAATCATCACAAAAATAACACAAGAAACAGAGGGGAGAAATGTCAAGGACTGTAGCACGCTAACAAACCATTTGTTTTCCATTGTCCATATATATAAATAATTTAAAAGACATAATCATATATTGAACATTTTGGCCTAATTCATCATAGGCTAGGAGCGTACTCAGTGGTAGAGCACTTGCTTCACATGCACAGTCCCTGAGTTCAGTCCCCAGCACCACACACAAAACTAACATCAGAAATTTAAAAATTTGTTCCTTATACTTATAAAGTGTTATTTAAGAATCCATTCCTGGCCCAGGGATTTAGCTCAGTGGTTCTGCTGTCTGCCTCGCAAGTGCAAGGTCCTGAGTTCAATCCCCAGTACCAAAAAAAAAGAATCCATTCTTGTTTTGTGCAACACATGATCTTTTCAGTTATTTTATGTTATGAAGTGTGAATATCCATAAGCAAGTAGCTTTTTCCAAACTTTTGTCACTAAGCATAGTTTAAATGCCCAGGGGCAAAGGGCGGGGGATTTAGCTCAATAGTTCCGCTGCCTGCCTTGCAGGTGCAAGGACCCAAGTGCAATCCCCGGTACCAAAAAAAAAAAAAAAATGCCCAGGGGCAGATGGGATCACTTATATGGTGAACATATAGTCAAATTTGCTTTAGAAAAGAATCATATTGGTTTCTAATCTGCTAGCAATGTGCATCTGTACCGGTTGCTTGTCAATATCTGTCCCAAATAGCTGGAATTTGAAAGATTTTGAGTTAAATCTGCAGATTAATTTAGAATGTATTGTCATCTTAACAATATGAAATTTTTCAATTCATGAACATTGGGTGACTTTTCATTTATTTAGGTCTCTAATTTTTTAAATGATGTTTTCTAGTTGTTAATAGGGAAGTGTTGCATGTCATTTGTTAAATTTGTTCCTAAGCATTCTTTTTTTTTCAACTTTCTTTTTTTTGGTACTGGGGATCAAACTTGGGACCTTGCGCTTGCGAGGCAGGCGATGATGGCACCACTGAGCTAAATCCCTGCCCCCCTAAGCATTCTTTAGGATAAATGAAATTACTTTGTTGATTTCATTACAAATTTTTCATTGATAGTCTATAAAAAATGCAATGGATGTTTATATATTGGTCTTATATCTATAATTTTGTGAATTCTCTTTATTGGTTCTTCCTGTGTATTCTTGGTATTTTTCCTTCTACTATCTCTAACTGATATTCCAATCTCAAATGGAAATGACAGCAGATATTTATGTATTTTTTTTATCTTAGGGAGAGGCACCAAGTCTTTCCCCATTTAGTTTTGTGTTAGCTATCAATTTTTGTTGATGGCTTTTATTAAGTTCAGAAAATTTCCTTCTATTTTTGGCTCATGGAGTGTTTTTTTTTTTCATGACAGTATTGTATTTTGTCAATATTTTTTCTATGGCTATTGAGATAACAGTGTGGGTTTTTTTCCCCTCATAGTAATAATGTCTGTATTACACAAATTGATTTTTTTTTCATGTTAGACTACTCATGTAATCCTAGTATATAATCTACTTGGTCATGGTGTATAATCATTTTTTATATGTCCCTGGATTTGATTTGTTAGTATTTTATGAAGAGTTTTGTATCTCATAAGAGATATTTTGTATGTTCATAAGAAATATTGATTTATAGTTTTATTTTCTTGTAATATTTTGTGTGGTTTTGGTAGTAAGATAATACTAGCTTAATAAAATGAATTGAGAAACATTCTGCCCTCTTCTGTTTTTTAGGAGTTTGCACAAGGTTGATGCTAATTATTCTTAAATATTTGGTAGAACTTACCAGAATTTATCATTTATCTTACATATTTAAATGGTGTAAGATATTAACACGATTATTTTAGCTTGTTTTCCTTTGAAATTAACAAGGTTAAACATTTCCCCATATGTTCCTTGCTAATTATCTTTGCCAATATGTACTGTTGTTCATGTCCTCTGCTCATTTTCATATTAGGGTCTCAGTGTTTTTCCTATCAATTTTAATGAGCTCCTTCTTACGGTAACCCTCTGACCATTGTGTTTAACCTAATAGTTTTTCATTGCCCAGTGGTCTTTGTATATTTTGTGCATAAAGAAGATAAACTGGGTTCTGTTTATAATAATTTCTTACAACTTTTATCTTGTTGGCATACAAAATAATTTCATATTTAGGAGATGAAGTAGCAGATCATAAACCTAATTAAAATAAATTCATATTCCTTGATTCCCAGACTAATTTTTTAGAATTTCTTTTCTTGACTATTTGGTTGTTTTTAATGTGCTATGTTAGGTAGAAAATTGGTGCTGGAGAAGTGGAGACCTTGCTGCAACTGTGACTGACCTTGTGGTTTAGAAGCCTTTGGAAATACTTTACTGAAGGCATTTGGAAAGGTTTGAAGATGCAAGCTAGAGAAGCCCTTGGTTGCAATAAGCAGAGCCTGATGGGTGATTCTGGTCAGAGCTCAGAGGACCAGAATGCTTATAGAAAAGCAGACAGTAAAGGCTAGACCCAGGTTTCAGGACTTATTTGCTTATTCATCTACATGTTATGCTCTGCTGTTATGGCTTATATCTAGAAGTTCCCCCAAAGCCTCACATGCTCATAGGTGAGAC